AAGCCATTTGCAGTTAGAGATGATACTGATATAGTGGCACCTACATTTGCCATTTGGGTCCTTTTGTATTTTTATTCCTTGTTTTGAACTGTTCTGTTCATTCTCCTGTTGGATTTGGCTTGAGGGTTTCTTGTATTTTTTGGAGTAGGGGTTTAGTCATGACAGAATTGTGGAGTTTCTGTTTGTCTGGGAATGTCCTTATTCTTTCTTCGTAGAGGAAGGAGAGCTTCGCAGGGTAGAGTGTTCTTGGTTGGCATTTGATGCTGTGGAGTTTGTTGAGAATGTCCCTGCACCCTTTTCTTGCCCGTAGTGTTTCTTCGGACAAGTCCGATGTCAGCCTGATCGGTTTCCCTTTGTAGGTCATTTGTTTCTTCCCTCTTGTTATTTTCATTATGTTTTCCTTGTCTTGTATTCTTGGTAGCTTTTCTGTGATGTGCCTTGCTGTATTGCTCCTGTCGTCATGGTAGTCTGGTGTTCTTGCTTCTTGGATGTCTACTTTCACCTCCTTCTTCATGTTAGGGACGTTCTCCTCTGTTATCTCTGTGAATCTTCTCTCTATTCCTTGGCCTCTCTCTTCGCCTTCTGGGACACCTATAACTCTGATATTTCCTTTCCTAATGGCATCAGATAGCTCTTGAAGTGTTTCTTCATTCCTTTTCCTTTTTATTTCTCTTTCTTTTTCTGTTTTAATTCTCTTTATTTTTTAAATCTCTATTTCTTCGAGGGTGCTGATTCGTTCTTCCATTTCATCTATTCTGTTCTCATAACTTTTCCCAGCATTCTTTCTCTCCTCTGGTGGCCTTTTCATCTCCTGCAATTCTTCTATTTCTTTTTTAAAGGCCCAATTTCCTTCCTCAAGTCCGTGAATGCCTGCCCCAAAACAATTTTTTTTTTCATTTCTTTCATTCATTTTCTTGTTGGCATTCTTCAACTCCTTGATGGCTTGCCTCATTTCATTTTTTCCTTCTCATCTTCTTTTTGTTTATCATGATGATTCTGAATTCTCTATCTGGTAGGCTGAGCAGTTCTTCTATTTCTTTGGTGGTTTCTGCTGATTGCTCTTTTTG